GGGGCGTGAGCCTCCTTTTTCTGTTACGGCCCATTCTACAAGGGCTGTTGGGGCATCTTGGGCTTTTCGTCATGGTGCCTCCGTTTCTCAGGTTTGTAAGGCCGCGACTTGGTGCAGGGGCCGCCCCTAGGCTGTAATTGGTCTTTAGTTTTTTTGTGCCTAGCGTCCTTCTCCTGCAGGTGGCGATATTACCCTACAGTACATGATCTCCAATCTGTTCCCTGTGTCCTTCAATGAACGGAGAGAAAAGGATTTTACGGTGAGTACCAAAATCCTATATTTTTTCTCTCTAAAAATGTGAGTATAACCCCTGGTATAACCCCTTATATTCTGAGTGTTTAGTTGGTGCCCTCAGGTTATTGATGTCTCCTGTCTATGGAGTGGAGATGTATATAACTTTACATACCTTTTTTTGATGTGATGCTTTTTTTTGTTTTGTTTAACCTGTGGATCCATCACTGGCTGTTTACGTTTTAGATTGATTTCCCAGTGGGGGGCAGAGAAGGACGTTTTAAAACGCCTACCCACGTCTAACCCTTTCGCTGCCAAGGCCTTTTTTTTTTGCACACTATAATTTACATTTTAGGGTCAAAGTACTTGAAACCCCCAAACATTATATATTTTCTGAAAGCAAAGATCCTGTAGAATAAAATGGTGACAGGTGCAATATTTAATGTCGTACAATATTAGCGCAACCCGTGGGGGCGGAGGTGGTACTTTTTTTTTTTTGCAGTAATATTGTTTATTAAGGTTTTTCACAAACAATAGTGTCAGGTACTCTTTAAAAGGTGACCCCTAGTGTCACCTTTCCACTCCAAATAAGCTACTGGAGCACAGAGTGCCCTCATTAGCTTATTGCCTGGCTTCTGCACCCGAGCAACGACCGCTAAGGGACCGGAAGTGATGCAATCAACGTTACTTCCGGTTCCTTAGAGCAGGGAGGAGATTGGCGAATGGATGTTTGTCGCTCTCCTTCCCCGCTTCTTTCCGACACCCGACGTGCTGGTCCTGGGTCCACAGGAAGGGTCAGTGGAGCCCGGGAAGCAAGGTGGCGGTGCACTTCACGGTGATCTGGCAGCAGCTCAGCCGCCAGAATCGCTTCCAGTTTAAAGACGACAGGGAGTGTGTGTAATGGGACCTCCTCCCAGCGATTTTGAGACATCCGTGGCATCGGAAGGGATTAATTCTTGTTTTAATTCAGCTCTGCCCTTTTTTGGTTTGAAGGCTGTAATTGCAAATACCGGCTGTGACTTTTTTGTCTATGCAGTCAGGAAAATATAGTTGTTGGAACCTGTTTGCTTCCCCTTCCTCCTCTTCATGCTTCCTTCTGGCGGTTCATATTGTCTTCACTGAAATGTCAGCAGAGGCCTGACCTTTTGGTTGCAATGAAACAGGTCTTTTCAGTGCTCAGATGCCTCCAGAGAATAAAATGACTTGACTAATTCTGTCTATGCTCCTAATTTTTTGTGCAGTACAAACTTTTTTCTGTCAAATGTAAGGCTGGTTATTAGGAATGTAGAACAAGTTATTTCCATATGGCTTGGTTTGCTTAAATGAGTTACTGCCGCATGCTTTTATATTCTGGAAGGCTCACTGGTTCCGAAATTAGGGATTAAAGTTTTGTCAAGCCTTCGTAAACACCGCTAGTGTGTGCTGGACCAATGACTTTGCATCTTTTGTTGGCCATTTTTGTCTTGTTTTACACCATGAGACATGGTCTAGAAAGCAAATTACTGCTCTCTCTCGATGTTATCCCATAACTCGGGTCTTAACAAATCCCGGACGCCAGGTTACCATGGCGTCAAAACATTCCATCCCGTCTCCTGGGCTTTTGTCAACCCGTTTTACTGTCCCCCACCGCTGCCTAATCAGCTCTGTTCCCTCGTCGTCCTCCCCTTTGGGCACCGGCTGCAGCGGTCTGTGTTCCCCGCTGTTCTCCCCGCCTGTATCAGCAATGGCAGCGGGGATCGGCCTGCTGCCGCAAGCTCCCGGCGTGGAGGAGAGGCCGCCCGTCAGCTGTTGTTCCCCACCCCTGCCTTCCAACTACCCCCCGCCCCCTGCCCTCTCTGCTCCTCTGCTGCCCCCATCTCTCATTCAGCTAAAAAGCCGGTGAGAAGTGTCTCATCCAGCGGATGGGAGCAGTGGTCGGCTTGCTATTGGTTATTTTAAAATGCACTAGCCAATAGCAGTCTGGCTATTGCACCTTCCCACTGTCTGCTGTCAATGAGCAGAGGAGGACCTGAAGAAGAACTTGCTCCTTCAGGTCCCTCCTCTGCTGCTTGACAGCAGAGAGTGGGCAGGTGCAATAGTTAGCCTGCTATTGCAATTTGTAATGGCCATTAGCAGGCTGGCTATTTCTCCCAGCCACTGTCTGTTGTGTTTACAGGCAGCTGTCATCCCCCAGTGAAGTGGAAAGGAGACATTCCGGGTCTAATAGACCCTAATGTCACCTTTTAAAGAAAACCTATCATCTCCAAAGTGCTATCACATAGGACGCTTGTGAGTCTCCCAATGTGACAGCAATGAAGTAAAAAAATAAAGTTAAACTTAAATTTAAAAATACCCTGTTCTCCCCGCCTGTATCAGCAATGGCAGCGGGGATCGGCCTGCTGCCGCAAGCTCCCGGCGTGGAGGAGAGGCCGCCCGTCAGCTGTTGTTCCCCACCCCTGCCTTCCAACTACCCCCCGCCCCCTGCCCTCTCTGCTCCTCTGCTGCCCCCATCTCTCATTCAGCTAAAAAGCCGGTGAGAAGTGTCTCATCCAGCGGATGGGAGCAGTGGTCGGCTTGCTATTGGTTATTTTAAAATGCACTAGCCAATAGCAGTCTGGCTATTGCACCTTCCCACTGTCTGCTGTCAATCAGCAGAGGAGGACCTGAAGAAGAACTTGCTCCTTCAGGTCCCTCCTCTGCTGCTTGACAGCAGAGAGTGGGCAGGTGCAATAGTTAGCCTGCTATTGCAATTTGTAATGGCCATTAGCAGGCTGGCTATTTCTCCCAGCCACTGTCTGTTGTGTTTACAGGCAGCTGTCATCCCCCAGTGAAGTGGAAAGGAGACATTCCGGGTCTAATAGACCCTAATGTCACCTTTTAAAGAAAACCTATCATCTCCAAAGTGCTATCACATAGGACGCTTGTGAGTCTCCCAATGTGACAGCAATGAAGTAAAAAAATAAAGTTAAACTTAAATTTAAAAATACCCAAAAAAAAGAAATTAAATTAAGTCCCCAGCCACCAGGAACGCATGGAAAAAAAACCCTGGCTTCTAACTTTTTTTTTAGCTGGCTCCTAGATTCACATGACCTTTGTCAAGCCCTGCTTTAACTCATTGACTTATCATGGGTCAGATGTAGTAGCATGAGGCCTTTAAGTACACTTGCATTGCATTGGACCTCTTGTAATGGGTGGTTGTGTATATAGGGGTATGTTCACTTTGATCCTTTGAGGAACACCAAGGTATCTTGGGGCATACATTATTTCCATCTGCTTGGCCTTCATGAGCCTGGTTCAGTGATGTCTACTAGTGTTCCTTACATTTGTGCTAGAGGGCATATAGTGTTAAACATTAAAATGATGCTCACGGGTAAACGTCAGCGACTCCAGAACGAGGGTAGGGTATAGCTTAGTTTATGCAATGGCAGGCACTTTAGCAGAATGAGATTTAGGGTACATGATAAGGAGACTGACTCTAGGAACATGGTTAATGGGACATCTTTTTGTAGGATAGAATGTATTTTGTGAAACAAACAACATTTTGTGGTGCATGTCCACCACTTGGGCGAGTTTTTAAATTCAAAATATCCATATTTAAATGGAATGTGTTCTTCATGAAAATATAAATTGTGCCATCTGTAGAAAACGCTGTAAAACTGGATCACCAATGCATCTAAAAGACAAATTGGTACCTGACTCCTGAGGCCTGAACTGTACTTGACCTTACTGTAAGGGACAAATCTTCATCAACTTGCCTTTTACTGGTGCTGTGCTTATTGCTAGGATATAATCAGTCCTTGATGAATCCCAGGCTTCATATGACCATGGAGGGTATTGCTACCAAACTTACACTGTCAATTTTTTTGATGTACTTTTGTTTTTTCCTTTGTAATTGAGACTTGAGGTTAGTGTAGCACTTCTTTCCTGTTCTGCGCTCCTTCTGCATTTCATGTCATAGTTCCTGTCTGGCTAGGAATTCTCACTGCCTGAAATGTTTGTTTTTATTACATTTTAAGGTTCATGAGCGCACTGAGGAAATGGACTTTCTACTGATGATTGTTCGCAAACTGTTGCGCACCAATTCGCGAATGGTAAAGGTAAGCGATGTGTGGGTTACTTGTTTCTAGTTATTAGAGGAAGGGTTTTTTTTTTTTTTAAATATAATGGAAAAGGATGGATAGTTGGTGTATAATTTGGGGAGGTTGGGGGGGATTTCAGCTAATAGTTTACACATCTTTCTGTGGCCTTACTTTTACAACAAGCATTTGTAGAGTAGAGGATACATTTTCCAATGGTGATTAAATTTGGTAATTTAAAAAAAAAAAATGTTGGGGGTTTTGTGGGGCATGTATGTTGTGATTTTCTGAACCAATTCCAGGCTGGCCCTGCATTGTACATGATGAAATCAGCAAGAGGGGCAGCATCATGAGTGGAGGAGAGGGGTGGGTTCAGGGGATCGGTAGTACTGGGTCCAGCAGGGAGGAGGCTTTTTCTTTCTCAACGTTTCTATTATTGCCCGACTAGACAAACTAGGATTATATCCTGCATATGTGGGATTTTTGTCAAGGAGCACAGGATCAGTAGAATTTAGGAACATCAGGTTATACGACCACCTGTGGGAGGAATTGGTCACTGTCAAACAAAGAAGCAGTTGACCAGCCAGATATAACCCCTCTCACTCCCATGATGCTTTAGTTTAATGCCAGTTTCTTAGAATAGACTTTTCTCTTTGCAAAAATGAAAACATTTTTTTGTTTAATCAAATAAAACTGTGTTGTGTTTTTTATTTATTAATTCTTCAGTCGAGATTGTTAATTGGTTTCTGACCTGGGACTCTGTATGCATCTATCCAGATCGACTGGACCTTGGCACTGCCTTTGAGGCTGTCCTTGGACCTCACTGGACTGAGGATTGCAGGGCTAGCCTTAATGTTTCTTCAGGAACTAGGCTCTGCTTGTGCTCATCCCCAGATGCCTTGTGTACTGGCTTGTTATCCTCAGAGGCGAAGAGCTGTGACATCCTTGCTGGCGTAGTGCTGATCCCTGAATACTACCTAGGGAGTATGCCCACATTAGGGGGTGAAGAATGCCGGAAACTTATGTTCACTGGGTTCTGCATATGGTACTTGGTTACAGTTCTTGTTAGCCTGATTCAACTTGGAATGCTTAAATCTCAGGCATCTGGATGCGTGAGGTGGTATCCTAATATTGGTCCTACTTCACTCTGGTGGCATCCCCATTGTGGTATTCTTTGACAACCTCCTGTTGGGGGAGCAGTCTGTGTAGGCACTGTCAAACAAATGTGGCTTTCACTATCCAGGCAATTATGGTGGTTCACATGGTTACTGGACTCAAGAATCGTCACTTAAGTACTTAGTTTAGTTCTGGGCACAGCACAGGCCGGAGTGTTTATTCCACAGTAGGGATGCACTGGTATCGGTATTGGTGCTGATACTGGGCTTTTGCACGTGTACTTGTACTCGTGAAACTTACTATATAATATATTGCAGGGATTTGTAGTTCTCTATAGCTGGTGGTAGTCTGCATTGCTGTATGATATATAGCTGAGATTTGTAGTCCCTCTACAGCTTGGAGTCAGTGGCAGAACTACCAGGGGTTCAACGTTTGCAGCTTGGACTGGGCCCTGGCACTCCACCACTGTCCTAAAATAAAAAAAATTTTAATGCAAGAAAAACTGTCAAATGACGGTAAGAAAAAAAATATTGGTAATTAGTATCTTGAGAAAAAGTATTGGTACTCCTACTCGGTCTGGGAAAAAATAGTATCGGTGCATCCCTTTTCCACAGGACACTTGAGACAGTTCAATTTCAGATTTGAGTGCTCTCGTCTAGGAAAAGTCAAACGTTCTGCTTTTGCATGAGTCTTGGATCTTGTGGTAGCCTGCTTTTGAGGCAGCTACAATGGCTTGTTTCACTGCAAACATCTCCAATGCAGGTAGCCTTCCCACAAGGTGTTTAAATGGATATGGAAGATGCAATTAGTGGGAGTCTCTGGGTCCTCTCTCCCCCTCCCGCCACCCATTTTCTTTGTGAGACTCATTCTCTTCTTCCTGCAGCTTGGTCTAGAGCAGGGTTTTTTTTTTTTTCCCTCTGTCCTCCCAAGGGTCAGGTTTCTGCCCTCTCAGCTTGGCTTGAGACCATTGGCCTTTCACTCTTTATGGTGGCACTAAACTCGGATGTTAAATCTTAAAAATGCATTCAAGTACCTTTTAAAGAGTTAATAAACCCTGAGCATTTTTTGCATATATCTACTGCTTGTGAGCAGTAGATATATGCAAAAACATTTAAAAAAACCCCTTTCAAACAGGTTTAAACTTAGCTGTGTCTTCGCCGCGTGCTCACGTCCGAACATCTGAAGAGTCTCGGGCAGCCGCAAAGGATCTTGGGGCGGGCGCATGCACAGTTCAGATCTTCGGCCAGGAGACGAGGAGAGACGCAAGGTAAGTCTATGGAGCAGCGTGCACCCGCACAGACTCCGTGGGACAGGAAGCGCCAGTGAAACTGCTAATACAAAATACAATCCTGAAATAGATAAAACTTGAGTTCTAGGTTCATGGAAGCATCATTTTTGTGAAATAATCCCAGCTGTGTAAAATTGTGTTATGTTTTTTTACAGACTGCCATATGTTAGGTTGGCTATAGCTGGGTTAAAATTACCCTAGTTAGTCTTTGTAAATAAACTTCTTCTTTTTTCCCTTGGGCTAGATGGCATTCATCTGTGACCGGTGTAATGTGTTGTGATTAAGATTTTTCTCATGTTCACTTGAATTAATTTCTAAACTTTGCCCTGGGCTAGTGGAAATATGCAATTGTTTGCACTGAATTGAGCTCTGGCTCAAGCAACATGTAAATTCTAGATTCCAATTATTACCAATATTTTGTATATATTTTGCTACCATTTTTGACAGGGTAACAGGTTAGTTTGTTGAGAATTTCAATACAAGAGAATTGCTGTACTTTTCTGAGCACTTACCATTATTTTCTCATAGGAATATATCTATATCTATCATATATATTCGCTCTAAGGCTAACCTTCTTTTTGTCCTTTTTTTTTTTATCATCCACTTTCATGCTTCCCTGTCTCCATCAACAGGTATTAACCAGTTGACATCCGCGGTGTTAAACCCCCTTCCCATCCAGGCCATTTTTCAGTATTCAGCGCTGCGGTACTTTGACTGACCTTTATTCAGTCATGCATTAAATTCTAAAACATTTATTACCACATTTTTTGGTAAAATATAAAAGACGGGGTCACGTTCATCACTTCCGCATTCACACTACGGAGGGAGAACAGCAAGGAACTGATCAACCTCCCTCCTTCTCCTGACGCCCTCCCGAGCCGGTCCCAGGCCGCAGATGGGCTAGCGGATCTCGGGATTAAAGGTGAGCGGTCAGGAGGGGGGAGATGGCGGCACTCGCGATTTGGGGGGGGGGGCGCGCTCCGAAATTCACACCATACCACCGATCGGCGGCGATAGCGCCCCCG